TGTACAATGTCAATTAATAATGATTTTTTATAATAATTGCTTTGTAAATTGTGAATTACCCTTTATTATTATTGGTTACATATAGTTCAGTAATGTTCCTTCAAGTTAAAACATTTTAAGTCTTTTCTCCATTACTGCACGTCCATTGACCAGCACAGGAGAATCAGACGGATCTATAAATAGACACAACATGACATCACATTACATCATATTATGACATCACTCACTGTCTAACAGTTCTTCAACAGAAATGGTCTCATCTTGACCAAGCAATGTCTCCAGTGCAATCATACTGCTCTCTAATGGAGGAATACGCTGAATCTGAAGGAGAGAGAGAGAGGGTAAAGAACACCATAAATCAGGTGGTTATGAAATGCAGGATGGAAAATTTAGATATTGAAAATTTTATATGATGGCCGTTTATCCAAATATATTAATAGGCAAAAAAGAAAATATTAGCAATTCTAAATTAGTATGCCCCATTGTTTATATAAAATTACCATCACTCAAAATAAACATGATTTACGGTACATGTACGTCATTACTTTGCTAGCCATCTTTCTCTCCATTTCTAATCTCAGAGGAGCATGTAGTCCCTGACTGTTACGCAGTGACTGCATTACAAAAGCTTCACGATTAGCAGCAAACTAAAAATAAATTAACTTAAAAATAGAATTATTGATTGAGGCTATGAATAAATAATGAGATCAATGAATATTAATGAGGTAGTTCATACGTTTGCTTCACTTGCTTCAAGTGGGTGAGATGGAGTCAGATCAGACTTAGCCGATTTAAAACTAAAAATTAAATAAAAAAAATTAATAATAATAATTCTAGGGGTCTAACCCATATCTGAATGTATCGTGAACATTATACTCTGAGGCTGGTGTCTTTAATGATACACTGGAAGTAACGGGACCTGTTCCAAATGGAGTGACTAGATCAGGGTTTCCTGCCTTTAAAAAGATAAAAAATAAATATAAAATAAAAGGATCTACCATTTTTTCCATGCTGCAAATTTGTGGGTGTGGTTTAAACTAGCCACACCTTATTATAGGCGTGGTATGGGAGGAGAAAAAATAGTACACAATCACAGGATCACAGATTCACAGCAAACAGGAGATCATTTAACACTTACTTCTGTTCTTCTCTCTCCTTATTTACATGGCCGACTTCTTAGTGTCTTCGAGCGGGCTAGAGCAAGCAATAGAGGACAAGTGGGGCCAGAGAACACTTGATCCATGGACACCAGAGGACGTGGAAGAAGATGAACTTTATAAAAGATTAGGATCACCTGTCAGACTGGGACTACCACCTTTCGAAGAGAACACAGGATTAGAAGAAGAGGAGAGACAGGGAGAGGTTGTATTAGGAGAGAGATCCACTGATCTTCCCCCTCCTCCTCCTGCTGATAGTATCACTTACCCACTTCATGATTCACCTGTTACCAGGTCCGATGAACAGTTAATATTCGCAGACGTTCCAGACCCAGTGAGACTCAGGGGGGTCGGAGGTACTACCATATTTGGTCTTAACAATCGTTTTGATGACGAGTTCCCCTCTTACCTCGTTGGCAAGGTGACAATTCAAAAACAACAAATTATTATTATTATTATTATTATTATTTTTAGGTTGCACCAGAAGAGTTTCACGCTACTTTAGAAAGGATTAACTCCATCCTGTACAAGAGTATTCCTTTTAATTTGAAATGTCTCATTTGCGGCTGCTTGTGTTGCTGCTGCACCTTAGGAATATCCTTGGGACCTGTACTGTATCTCAGCAAACGAGTGAGAAATTATTATAATTTACTACCACGTACTATAGTACAGGAAGTTTGGTCTGATTTTTTTAGCAACTTTAAAAATTTGTAAAAAAATCCAAACTTGATTGTAATTAGCTTAAACTTTCTATGCAATATAAGTACATGTATATGCATCAGAAAATGTAAAAGTTCTTTTTCCTTTCCTTTCTCTTATAGACCAGGACGAGGTTAGAGAAGGTCATCTCCCAGGAGAACTGGAGGCTCTATAATAAGGTACTAATGAATATAACAATGGCTGTACTGTTACTTCTCATTGTCACTTCTTTGTCTCTCTCTCTCTTTCATTGCCAGCTGGGACTTAACATTAAACTGCAGAAGGAGTTCTGTGATGGAAATAACCTCAGAGAATATGTAAGAAGAAAATGTTATTTTATTATTATTATTATTATTATTATTATTATTATTATTATTATTATTTTATTTTACTAGGTTATATACATTGAATTTTTACCAAAGCAACCACTGTATTATCCTGACTAAAGAACATAATTATTTTTACAATAATCAGAAGAGTAATGACTAAACTGTAGCATTATATTGTGTATAGGTTATGCATAATATTGAAAAAAGCTAATAAAAAAAGCCACGCCCACCTAATTAATTTTGAGGCCCCACCCATCATTAAGGAAACAAAAACAAGATGGCGGATGAAGGCTACCAACAAGATTTCTATCCTACGAACTATACACTGGACTCAGAGACACTCCAATCAGCCAGACACTACCAGCAACAGCAGCCGTACCACCACCAACCACCACCCGCCCATCAACCCACCCAGCAGTACAGTAACCAGTATTATACTGATGGGTCCCAGTCAAACTATTATTCACAGGAGCAGTATTCTGGAGGAATGGGCTATACTGTACCAGGTATATATTAGTTTTTAGATAAAATGTACATGTAGAAGGTTTGAGCAGATTCCAACTTCAATTTTTTGAATTATAGCCATTTTAAAAAATTGACCAAAATCTGAAAAAATCCCTGTACTATAGCCCATGGGTTTTTTCCAAAAATGGCTACAAAATCACCCCCAATTTTTATTACATTTTCTGATGCATATTGATGTCCTTATGCTGTGTAGAAAGTTTGAGCTGATTCTGACTTAAATTTTTCAAGTTACGACCATTTAAAAAATGGGCCAAAATCTGAAAAGTTCCCTGTACTATAGCCCATGGTTTTTTCCAAAAAATGGCTCCAAAATTACCCCCCAATTTTTATTACATTTTCTGAAACATATTGATGTCCTTATGCTGTGTAGAAAGTTTGAGCTGATTCCGACTTCAATTTGTTAAGTTACGGCCATTTTAAAATGCAGTATAAACAGCATTATTATGTTGTTGTTATTATTATTATTATTATTAATGTATTTCAGAGCCTGAAGGAGAGCGGATGGAGGTTGATCCCTACCCTCCAGCTGGTCAGCCTCTACCAGCTGGTAGTATGGGCCTCATGTCTCAAGGAGGAGTAGGAGGAGCTTATGATAGTCAGGGAGGACACTCTGGGTTTGAAGAAGACCCACCACTACTGGAAGGTACTGTCTGAAAGAAGCATTTTATAATTTTTTATAATTAATTCTATTCTTTTTATAGAGCTTGGAATTGACTTCAGCGTCATCAAAGAGAATGTATGCTTCCTTTTTATTTATTTTATTTTATTCTTTTTTTAGACATTATCTGTCCTCAACCCATTACAGCAAGCTGATGCAGTTGCTTTACGTAACACTGACCTTGCGGGGCCACTGATATTCTGTCTACTATTTGGAGGAACTTTACTTCTAGTAAGACACAAGCTCACACATAATTCATGTTTTTGCAGCAAAATGTCCACCTATCAATGAATGTATACCTGTCTTCTATTCCACATGTACACATATACATTGTAAATTCTTTATATTCCTTATTAGTCTGGTAAAGTTCATTTCGGTTACATATATGGTGTTGGTCTCCTTGGCTGTATCAGTATGTACCTGTTGCTTAACATGATGAGTGGAGAAGGTGTCCCAGTGACAATGATAATGAGTGTCCTAGGGTACTGTCTGCTACCAATGGTACTACTGTCTGGTACAGCAATAGTGATCTCTTTACAGTTAGTAGAGAGAAAGAGAGAGGGAGAGAGATGATCACATGACCTCTTTCTCTTTCCTAGGGGTGTTCTTGGTACTGTGATGTCTCTGTGTATTATATTATGGTGCAGCTATTCTTCCTCAAAGTTGTTTGTGTCTGTCCTTTCAATGCAGTCGCAGCAGCTGCTAGTGGCTTATCCTTGCGCTCTGTTGTACGGAGTCTTTGCTTTATTGACTGTCTTTTGAGAGGGAGAAAGGCAGCTGCTACTCAAGAATGTACAAATATAATAAATCTCTCTCTCTTACTATTAAGACTGTTGTTATTATTTTTGATTCAATCCCTTATTATTATTATTATTATTATTATTATTATTAAGTTTTAATTTATTCATGAAGTGGAAAACTGTTTTAAATTAATTTATTAACATTAAAAATATCACTATTATTATGTCCTTTCGTTGCTATGGCACCATTGTGTTGATGGGTGCAGGAGGCAGTGATAGGAAAGAAACCTATTTTAAAATAATTTAAAATAAAAATTTAACGTATGTACATGTACATTTAATACCTTGTTGGATCTTCATTATCATCAAATAAATCATCTTCAATTGATATTGTATTTTTAATATCTTTACCATTAATATTCCAACTGCCATAACTGATCGTTATCTACCAATACCTGCTTAAACCAATTAAACTGGTGCCTGATACCTGTTTGACAAGGTCAGTGGTTGATATTCTTTTTAAAGGGAAGAGATGAGAGTTCATGGTGGACACTTCTGTTAAATTATACCCCAAGATGCCCTCTGTATATCATTAATTATTATTCATAGTCTTGCCTTAATTAATTACCTATTATTAGTCCTATTAACATGTTGTCTGGGACACCAGCTGCTCCTGAATATCCCATCATTTTCTCTTTCCCTCTACACAAAAGAAACTTTCACTACTTCTTTATTCGAATTGATCGATACCTTAAATAATATTCCAGCTGCTCCATTAACCGAGTACTGATACAGTAAACAGCACCAGTTGCAAAATAATAAGAATCTCTTAACTAAAAGAGCAGCTGGAAATATAAGATTGCATTCATTATTACTGTACTATGTTATTCTTTCTCTTGAAATCTTCTCTAATCTACAAGGAACAGACATAAACTAGCTCACTCCTCCTTTTCTCTTACATCAATTCTCCTGTTGATACTTCTTTGTCCAAGATAATGGCTGTCCAGTGGATTAAGCGTATCCAACAATTCAAACAAAGCCAACACATTTAGATACATATCATCATCCAAGTGGCAATACCAACTATAAAATAGATTAATAATAGAAATATCAATTGGTTGCATGAATTCATATACAGACATATTTATATTTCAATGCATCTTCCTTTTACTTGTAATGGCTCCTGTTTTCTTTTGCAATATAAAACTGCTCAAATTCTACTCCACACTTGCAGGCCATTGGTTGACTAGTAGAAAAAATGATAAAACTAACTGGATCAATGATCATGACATATTATACTAACTGAGTATGACCTTTGGGACAATCGGCAATGTGAACAGTGTAACCTATTATTTAGATTAAAAAAATAATTTATGATTTCAATTTAATTGTAATACCAAAGTCTCTCAGTAGTTCCGTAGTAGAATCTTCAGTATCAGTGACTATATGTAACTAATAATAGTAACAACAGTATATTAATAGTAACATTGGTATGACATCATGACGTGATATTTATAAACTAACGTTATGAGGGTGTATGCTTTGAAACCAGGTCAACACTAGCAGTTGGAGTCTACTCTCATGATATTTTTCTGTTGATTTAATTGAAAAATATACATCATTTCTTTCGTGAACATCATAAAGAGGGTGTGGCTTCCTGCCAAGGACCGTTCTGGTTGAAAAAATGGATGCATTACTCGTCTCACGTGATCCACTGCAACCATCCAGACTGCAGTGACCTTCATCTAATGAAAAAACAAATTCTTCAAGAAGAAAAGTAATCAGAAACATTAGCAACCTCATTATTATTCATGATCAATTATATGGGTGTGGTTTAATAAAAGTTGTCATAGCAACTACCAGGAGACAACAAAATGGCGAACATTCTCCCACCACCTCCAGCGCTCCCCAGCGGTAGTGTCCAGTATATCCACTCCTCAGAGAAGGTCCAGTACGTTCAGTCGAGGGGAAAGAGAGGGAAAGAGCATAAGAACTCGCTACAGCAGCAGATTGAGGAGATGAGGCGACAGAAGAAGAGAGATGGGAAGAATGAGGGAAGGATTGACTTTAATAATCTATCGAAACAAATAGATCCTTCAAAGTAAGCATTTACTATAATTGGGAAATTATATCGATTGACAATAATAATAATGGGAGGATTTGTGAAACTAATGGTTTATAATACCAATGCAACATTCAATGATACATAGTGTAATTTTCTTTCTCTCTCTCTCTCTCCATTCAGTTATAGAAATAGTCTGTTCCACAATACTTGTACATCAATACTTGCCAAAGGCTACCACCAATCATTCACTGAACTATTTGAGCTCGTCCAAAAGCAAAGAGAAGATCACAGAATAGCAGGACCAGGTGCTATCCTACTCTCCCCACTGATAGACGACAAACCGGATAAACTGGACTACTTACAAGTTTGCCTCATGAGTGCTGAAGATGCTAGTCGTCGTGGTGACCTAGAAGCCGTATATTTATCCCAACGTGACCTGGCACTTCATTTTGATCAGACCGGGGATCACTGGCTTTCTGATCATTTCCATAATCGCTGCTTGGAAACTGGTAGACTGATAAAAGGAGATGGCAGACGTAAAGAAGGAGAGGCTCACTTCCATGTTGGATTGGCCTATGAGAATAGAGGTACTTCAATAATTAAGTATTTAATGTGAATTCTTATGTGCTATAAAGAACATACAGTAATTGTGACATAGCTCTTTTCTTAAACATTTAAAGATCACCCATCATAGTGACCATACTCTATATTACACATATCAGCAGTCCCTCTCTCTCTCTCTCTTTTTCAGGTGATTTGGATAAAGCTGTGGAGCACATGGAGATATTCTATGAGCTGACATCAGCCAATAACTGGCATACTGAGAATGGTGAGAATCTTTACCGTATTGCCTGTGAACACTTGAGAAGAATCTACACTACAATTGCAGAGAAAGTAAGAAGAAGAGGAGCATGCAACTAAGAATAGCTGACATTAATACTGTTCTCTCTCTCTCTCTCTCTCTCTCTCTCTCTCTCTCTTTCCTGTAGTCAGAGGATACCTCATTATTGATAGAGTATCTTCAAAAAGCTCATACCATGTCAAAGAAAGCTAAAGACACTTACCAAGAAGGACTGGCCTCCTACAGACTGGGCTGTGCTCATGAAAAGAACAAAGACTTTGATACTGCACTACAAGTAATGACACTATTATTTATTTATTTATTTATTTATTTATTATTTTGACAGTGTCACAAGAGTTTCCTGGAGAGATCTCGTTACCATAGTGACGAGGTCGGAGTAGGTAACGCCTACGAAGCATTGGCTAGATGTCACGAACAGTAAGAAGATTATATTATTATTATTATTATTTTTATTATTATTATTATTATTATTATTATTATTATTATTATTATTATTATTATTATTATTAATCATTCTTTTTCATTATATAGTAAAGGTGATCTTGAGAGTGCTGTCCAGTGTCTTGAGCTGTATGTTAATGTAGCAGAGAAGAGTGGAGCTACTGAGTCGCTAGCTAAATCATGTAGAGCTGCAGGAACCATCTTCAATACACTCGTGAGTAATAATGTCTGCTTGGTTATCTAATCATAATGATAATGGTCTCCTTATGACAACCAAAGGAAGTAAATGACATTCATTAGTTGTTATATTGGTGCGCCCCACGATAGCCTTTCATAGTTATAGT